CGGCCTCTGCCCCCCGACCCCCTTTTTGGGGGTATGAAGCAGGGTGTTGCCGGGATTCTCCGTGGGGGCCACGGTGTTTCCCCCGGCTACCTGGCTTGCGAGCGCCTTTGTAAAGACCCCCTCGAGAGCTTTGAGGACGTTGGGGTGCTGCATGGCCTTAGCAAAGGTCGGGACCGGAGGAACAGGGACTATGGGCCCCTGCTGAGCGCGGCGAGAGGTCTCTCCGCCGTTGCGCCGACGAGAATGGGCGTCGGACTGCTGGGTGGACTCGTCGCGGCCGGATGAGGGAATTTTGAGTAGCTTTCGGAAGTGAAAAGTAGGAAAAAGATGGGTGTGATGTGGAGTCTCACAAGATCGAAAAATTGATACCAAGTAACTTATGGTGTCCTCCTTCTAGCGCCAAACTGTTGACGGACGTTTCCGGTCAACGGTTAAAGAAATACGATAGGAAGTATGAAATAGAAAAAAAGAGGAAGAAGTATGATTTAATTATGATTTTGTTAATCGATCACGAGGTCGACACTTGCGATATCCTTACAAATTCTTACAATGGTTTATTACAAGTCTAGAGAGAGAAAGTAGAGAGAGCGTCTGAAAGTTGGAGATTCAACAATCTAGAAATAAATGAGATGGGTTGCTATTTATAGTGGCCTTAAATGTGGCACTGTTCAGGTACTGTTCACTAGTCTTGTCGTACAGTACTCTGGCAGAGCAGTTCGGCGTCTCCCTGACAGAATTTAATGCGATTTGAGGTTTTCCTCATCATTGTCTGGCAGGCATTTAATGCACACATGGGGGTCATTTAATGCTGGCAGGCTTTATGTCTTGGCTAGTGGATGTAGGCCTGCAGGCTACGACGCCCCGTCCAATCACCAATGATTGCCCTCCAAGTGGCACTATTACATTATTATCGGGCTCGGCATCTCTCTCTGGGGCAACCGCCGCGTTCTTTCGACCCCCCGGGACCTTACTTCAGCCCGTCACTTATTTTAGGTCGGCACCGGTGTCTGAACAGCACAAACGCCGGGCTCGTGAATGGACCCGCGGGGATGTCAGGGTCAGTTAAATCCGGAATCCAGCTCGGCACTTACGGGAGTTTCCGTTGTTCGGTTCCCTTCCGGCATCGAGAGTCAGTTCGGCTTTTTTGGGAGTTACTCCTCGNATTATTATTATTATTATTATTATTATCCACCTTATCACATTAATGATAAAATAATTTCTTTTATATTAACACAGTAATAAATATATTTTTATTGTATCATATAATACTCATTCTTAAAATTAGTAATTATATTTTACACTAAAAGATATATGAAAAATATATAAACATAAGATATTATATTCTAAAACCTTTTTGGTCAAGTTATTTATTCCAAAATTAATATTATATTTTTTATCTGATTAAGTGATTGTTTTTTAAATGATTTATTTTATGTCATAATAAAATTTCTTAAAATTGCATAAGCAATTGTTATAATAAATTTAATATTTTTAAGCTAATTAATTGGTCATAATCTTCCATAATTACAAAAATTATATTATTTATTACATTGTATGCAATCAATATAGTGATTCATATGCAATTAAATCGTTAAGTACTATTTATTTTAACCAATGATTAAATTTTAAACATAATAACAGTATCTAACTTATAATTTCAATATTATATGCATAAATATAATTTATAATACTCTATGTTTAAAATATAATACCATTATCTAATTTATAATTTTAATATTATATGTTTACAAATAACTCATAATACTTTATTTACATCATCTGTGCAAATGCACAGGTCGAATACCAGTATAACTATAAAAGCCCATCTCTGGACCAAAAAAAAAATTAAGAAAACTAAATAATGGCATGAACTACCCAAATGTATTTAGCACAAATGTGTAATTGTGTAAGTCATGAGAGATTATTGATTACGGTAACGGGAGTGAAGTTCAGTTTTCACATTCACTCATGTTTTCGATTACTTGTTTTAATGAAATCAATATTTGGTTGAGTTTCTTTTTCTTATCCGTTTTGTCCTGATCCTGAACCGTTTTATCCCGGTCCTGATTGATACCTATTGATATACGAAATTTTATCAACACAATAATGTATTTCTTGAATTTTTGTATGAATATCAAGGGTGGAAAATATCAAGAATGGAGCTTCATTTTATTTTGATTTGTTGTTGGGAGAAGGATGAATAGTTCTTCTCTTTATCTCTCCTCCTCTACATCTACACATATATATACATGTGAGTTAATTTAATAAATGGATAAAAACAATACACTAGCATTTAATGCCATGTGACATTTGAGGGCCCACTTAGAACTTTTGACGACTTCGATTGACGTCTGTCCTGTCGCCAATTATTGCGTCTCCCGGAAGCGGTTCCTTTATGGTATCTGTGCCAGTGGATCACCTCGGATTCTGCTCGACCTAGTAGCGGATAGAATCGGCACTTGGGGATCCGGTCGACTTGTAGGTTGTCAGTTTTGAGAACCTGTTTGTATATTTATTTATCATATATTTTCGATTCTTGTTATTGGGCCTTTCTTTATTATTTTATTTATTATTTAATTAATTGGAGCCAAATTAGTTATCAACAAAACCGATCCATTTGGGATGGTATCTCGTCCCGGACCAGTTCATAAAAGCCGGACAGGTACCGAAATAGGTCAAATCCTGAACCGTCCCACACCACGCTCACCCCAAGCTTTGCGGCCCTCATTGTAACACAAAATATTGCCAGTTATTTCCCTCGGAGAACCTTTCTCCTCGTTGGTCTCACAATAGATGAACGACATCTCGCGTTATTTCAATTTTAGCACAAATACGCTCCCTAAACTCACCAAATTAGTCCCTAATCCTCAATTTTTTAGGAGCAATTGACGTCTCTCATCAACAAATTGACGTTAGAGGAAGCGCTCGATCACTTATTTCAGTGAATCCACCTTATAACAGTCAGATGTCATCATTTCTCATTTTTATAAGCCTACTTCACTTCAACCTGAGGATAATAGTCGTCCCCCTCCTCCTCCTGATGTTATCAACCTAATCCAATCCTGCTTTCATCAAAGGCCTTAGTAACCGGTTTTCTCAAATCTTGCAAAATTAACCCCTTTAGAAAACTAATCCTCTCACTACTCAATCATGGCCGAACGCGAAATCCTGAGATTCAAGAAGTCCAATCCCCAGAAAAAACTGGGGCCCTTGACAAGGGAAAAGAAAAAAGCGTACTGAGCGTACTAATCATTCCAAGGATCGTGAACGAATGAGTGACAGCCAGGCCCATACGAGTTCCAACTTTCATTCGATGCTCAACCTTCGCCAACAGATTACCAAAAAGATCCTCTGCAAAGAGGACAAAGGAAAAAAAAAAAAAAGAAAGGATCATCGAGCTTGAAGCTCTACAGACACTAGAGACCGCTAATCGGGTACCTCCAACACTCTCTCATCTCCTGAAAGGGCTTCCTCCAATCCTACTTCATAACAGTCTTCTCATATACTACCAGAGATCTTCTCTAGCAAGATCAAGGTCTCATAAACCGGCCTCAATCATGGCAACACTGGCCTAGACGCCCTCCTAGGACAATACACGTCTTGGATGGATCTTCAGGGTGTCAATGACGCTATTCGTTGGCAGATGTTTTTCCTCACTCTAGGAAAAGCGCACCGTTGGTATTACTCTCTACCTCCAAAATCAATTCAGAACCATGACCAACTGCGTTTCGAATGCACTTTGTGGGATCGCAAATATGCATGATCCCCACAGAATCTATCACGAACTAAAAAATATAGCTTTTTTAATCAACTTTTTTAAAATTATTTTAATACAAACTCAAAATTTCACTTAAATATAGCTTAATCAATTTTTTTAAAATTAACCATGGCTATCCAATCAAATTCAGCCAAATCCAAAATAACTTATATCCAAACACAAATTCCACTACAAGATGCAAATTTTTAGAATTATATCTATTTAAGGTCTGAATTTTATTGTTTCTCAACAGAAAATTTACTTGTTAGGTTATTCTCAATTTAATCATACTTTTTTTTTAACTTCTCTATGTAAGGGCCAACAACCTTTACTTTTTGGCATAAATATACGAACCAACTAACTTTGTTTTTTGATATAATTAATAATTATGTGAACAAAAATAATTTTCACATCTTTTATGATTACATATTTTTCACATATTTCATTTCTTAATTTTATTACATTTAGATTATTAATTAAAATAATATTTAAATTATATATTTTTGAATTCTCTTATTAATTTTTTGAAAATAAAATATATTAAACATTTGCATATAAATATAACTTATATTGTTTAAGTTCCTCATTTAAGTTAATTGTTAAATGTAGCTAATATTTTTCACATAAATACGTAAATATAGATTGTAAAAAATATTATTATGATTCACATATTTATGCCGAAAAGTAAAGTCAGTTAAACCTTACACTGAGAAATTAAGTAAAACAAGTGAGCTTCAAAGTAAGAATAATCTAAAATGTAACCTTCTATTAAAAATGAATAAAACTCAATTATTAAATTGATACAATTTCTCTGTAATGAAATTTTCACTATATGCTCATATAAAGTATAAACTCCAAAATTCTTATTCTCTTAAAGAAGTACCCTCATTTTCATTTAGTGCAGCTCTAACAACCAAAGGGACATCCTGTCCGCAAAAAAAGGACCCTCGTTTCCTCCCTAGCGTGCCCATCTTACACATAACGTGGCCATGGTGGGTCCCATCATTAGTTGAGTTGAGTGATATCAGCACACAACAAAAACCCCCTCACCCAGCTCACCCCTTTACACCCACTTTCTATATAAACGTGCTACCTTCCGTCACACCTCACACACACACACACACAACCACAGTTGCTTTTTTTCTCTTTCGAAAATCTCCGCCATTTCCCTTTCTCCACATTCGCTACTACCAGATAACAAAACCATAACATTCACAAAACAGAAAAAGGAGAGAGTGAGAAGATGAGACCCGCCGCTGATTTATTTCACTCGACTCCGGTGGAAAAGTTATCCGCCGCCGGCGCCTCCAGGGCGAAATTCACGCCTCCGGCGGCCGCCCCGATGTCTCCGTGGCACTCTCCGGTGCCGTACCTCTTCGGCGGCCTGGCGGCGATGCTGGGGCTCATAGCCTTCGCCCTGCTTATACTCGCCTGCTCCTACTTGAAGCTCTCCGGCGACGGCAACGAGAGAGACGTCGAGCGCGGCGGAGAGAAAGGAGACGGCGGATCCGACGACAAGGCGCCGCCGGTCTTCGAGGAGAAGTTTCTGGTCATCATGGCCGGAGACATGAAACCCACTTTCCTGGCAACCCCTGTTTCTAACAGTAAGACTAATTCTCGTCTTAATGACGACAGCAAAGGAATGGAAAATGACAAATTAGACATTATGGGAAAAGGTGAAGCGGTTCAGGAAAATGAGGATGGAGCCAATGAGTCATCACAAGCGAGCCCAGGACACAGCCATTGAGATTTTCTTTTCTTTTTTTTTTTAAATGAATATCTGCTCATAATTTTTTTTTTTNTATGTTTGTTGTGTCTCAATTTTGTGATCGGCCATATGTAAATTTTCCGATGAGAAAAAAAGGAAGACTGTTTATTCCAGCTCCAAAGGCCTTTGAGGGACATTAATTATTAATATTTCTTCACAGCTGTAGATTAGTGGAGAGTAATTAGTATTGGCAATTATTATTCTTTATTAGTTTCATTACTTCCATTCCATGCAACTACAGCTGCGGAATTTATGGTTTATGCTAATTTATTACTCCTAATTGCATATTAATTCGTAGAAATAATAAGAAAAAAAATAAAACAATTTGTTACGTTGTATGGAATGTGATAAGAATTCCATTAGAAATATAATTAATGCGTTCACGACAAGAACATTACATGCTTTACGTCTCAATGAATTTAAAGTGAAGTACACTAAAAAGAAAAAAATTTATAAGTTCGTAAATGATTAAAGGAAAAATTGTAGTGATGAATTTTATTTGATTCGCAACTTGATAAGAATGACCCACTAAAACAGAGATGTCATGAAGCACTATTAGCCTCTTTTCTCCGACTAGCGAACAGGATAAAGTAAACAAATCAAACTAAGTATAGATTCTTAATTAATGGGAAATTCCCTTTTTCACAACTAACGTGAGTCTAGTATAAACACTGCCATTATAGTTAGGCTAAACTACACAAATGGATATAATTTTTTTTGTGATTTCCACTTAACTAATGTGATTTTTGAATTATAATTTTGTGCAATAAACTATTTATATTTCCACATATGTAAGTTATTATCTCATAATCTATTTCTCCAATCAAAGCACGAAAATAGATAACTGATCCATACATTTTGGAAACGATATATTTATTGATTACGAGATGTATATTAAAAAATATATATTACATATCTCGGAGGCGGAGCCATCGTTGGCGGCGGCCTGACCAATGCCAATGTCGGCCAACCGACACCGCAGACGGGCTCGGCGATCCCGGGTTGTGTGGAGATCGGGCCCAATGAGCCCTGGATGCGCAGAGATCGGGTCTGGGACAATCCCCTGCCCACCGCGTGGCTGATCCTCGTACCAATTACAGAACATTTATGTAAAACATAAAAATCAAAATGATACAAAGTAATTAGGATATACTGATTATAAACGTGAGTGAAACAAGTAGTTTGAGAATTCGTTTTTCTATTATCCAGTTAATAAACAACATATAAACTATAATTATAGTGTTTTGTTGTTTACTTTCTTTGGTCGTGTTAAGTTGTTTTTTGGCGGAGTACGGAATAAAACTCGACCTCGGGCAATGCCTCTCAAGGAAGGTTGTTCATACACGAATTCAAGCAACGATTGACTCACACAAGAAAAAGAAATAGAATATCTTAAACACTTTGCTCGCAATTTGGTGGTTGAATTAAGCTAATGTCGCAACTTAAACTAAAACGAAAGTAAAATTCAAACTTTAATACTCGCAAGTCCTCAAATTACAATGGAAAGAAAAATAGAGAGAAAAAAGAACTAAGCACAAAAAAACCCGAGATAAAAAGAAGACACTCATAGGTTTGAGAACATGTAATCAAGAAATTATCACTCGCGAATCAACTAATCGAGCTCTCAATCAATTTTCGTTAACACAATCAATAACAAAATCACATATATAATCCCTAGCCTACAAGAATGAAAACATTTTACTCATTAAAGCTTCTACATTTACCTTAGAAAAATATAATAAGTAAAGACAAGTAAAACTTACGAGATCTTGGACCTTAAACTATGTCTCTAAGTCTCTAGTATCATCCAAGAGAAGAAGTAAGCCGGAAAGTTGCAATCTTGATGGAGAATTATTACAATAAAAATTAGGTCTTCGAGCTCCTAGAGAGAGAAAGAAAATAAATATCTATATATATACATATATATATATATATATATATATATATCTAAGAGAGAGAGAGAGAGAGAGAGAACTAAGAAGAAAAATCTTACAAATGAGACAGTGATGCCCAAAATACAAGGGCTCAATTTTATTCATAGTTACACTACAAACACATACTAAAAACACATCATTTAATGAAATCGGCAGCTGACTGGGTCTCGAAATCAAGTTCGCAGCGAGTGTGCTAGGTCTTGGATGTTGGGCTTGCGCAGACGCGGAAAATCACTCTTTGCGAGTGTTGCATGGTGCTGTTGGGGCGCTAGACTCGCGCGGACGCGAAAAATGGCTAGCTGGCGAGTGCGGGTCTGCTGGGGCACGAGAAATAACTCGCTGCGAGTGTTGGGCGCTATTAGGACTCGCGGGAACGTGGGATATGACTCGCTGGCAAGTGCAAGTCTGCTGGGGCGCGAAAAATAACTCGTTGCGAGTGCTGCCTGGTGTTGGATGCAGGTGCGGCATGGGTCTCGTAGGCATCAGGAGCACGGGTGTGATGGGAGCATGGCCTAGGACTGTGTGTGAAGGGGCTCAGGTTCACTAGGCGTTGACTGAGCCAAGAACTCTCTGGCAATTTTTTGGCAATTTTCCCGGTAATTTTTCAGCGAATTTTTGGTGACTCTCCAAAACGCAAAATTTCTATAAAATAAAAGATAAAAAAGAAATAAAAAGCACAAGTCAACAAAACGACACAAAAACACAAAAAACAAACAAAAACGACTATATGGACCGGGAAAAATATAAAATAAACTAAACGAACACAAATATAACACTTACAAAACATACAAAACAACTCCCTCACACTGACTTTTGCTTGTTCTCAAGCAAACAATGTCGTCAACCTTTCGAAAAGGTAAATTTGCTTACTCGATCATTATGTCCTAATGCATGCCAATCTCATTTTTCCCCGGGATCCTTATAGTCGATATTCAACTTGATAATAATCTCGAATCATATAAAACAAAACACGTCTAATGCTCTTCCACACATGATTGACATGTCACAAACCAACTTTTACAAATCTACCCATGCATTATACGTGTACTCCCGACCCCCAATACAAATATTTTCAGCAAGACCAAGTGGCTACAAGTCAACACAAACATAAACAATAAGATCAACACAAACACAAACATATTTATTTTCCTGTTTATGTTGCTCAGAATTTAACTCTACTAGTAATACAACATATACTGTTTTAAATTATTTTCAGTATAAGTTTTCATATTATAACAATAATAAAATTATTTTGAATTTTGTTCATCCGGTATCCCTAATAAATTATTACGAGGAAACCCAGCCCAAATTTTCGTGTCTGTGTATTGTGACCCACCCAGCCATGTCTAATTTCTAATAAAATGACACCTCACTTTTATTTCGCAAATTTATTATATTTCGCCATTTTCATTTGGCTAAGATTTAACCAGTTGTCAGGTTCTTATTGGCTAATGCTTAGATCTCCACCAGCCCGTTTTTGGCTAATGTTCCCAACATACAGGCTACAGCAGTGCAACACAGAGACAGTACTGCTTCACTCAAGAAAAGCCAGAGAGAGAGAGAGAGAGGCTAAGGCTAGTAGAAACAAAAAATAAATAAATAAATCGAATGGGTAGTGAAACACGGAGCCTGACGGCTAAGATCTGCGACTCGTGCAAGGCGGCCCCGTCGACGGTGTTCTGCCGCGCGGACTCCGCCTTCCTCTGCGTTGCGTGCGACGCCAACATCCACGCCGCCAACAAGCTCGCGTCCCGCCACGCCCGCGTCTTGGTCTGCGAGGTCTGCGAGCACGCCCCCGCCGCCGTCACCTGCAAGGCCGACGCCGCAGCCCTCTGCCCCGCCTGCGACCGCGACATCCACTCCGCCAACCCCCTCGCCCGCCGCCACGAACGCCTCCCCCTCGCCCCATTCTACCACGCCAAGCCCCCCGCCGACGACTTCTCCGAGGAGGAGGAGGCGGAGGCCGCCTCTTGGCTCCTCCTCCCCAACGCCATCGACAAGCCCGAAGAATCCGGGTCGCCCGAGTACCTGTTCGCCGACACGAACCCCTATGTGGACATGGATCTGATCGGCGACGAGCACCACGAGCCGCGCAATCGGTACTCCGCCGACGGAGTTGTCCCCGTGCAGAGCAGTAAGACCGAGTTTGGGCCGGTCCACTACCCAGAACCGGTTGTGGATGGGTTCCCCACCTACGAAATGGACTACTTCAGGCCCAAGCCTTTCATGTACAACTTCACAGCCCAATCTCTTAGCCAAAGTGTAGGTCTCCTTTTTATATTTTCCTAATGAATAGAATTAGAGTTCAAAATTGTGGAACTATTGTGGGAATAAACTATGACAGGTATCGTCTTCATCGATGGAGGTTGGTGTGGTCCCAGAGCAGACGGCCATGTCGGAAAAATCCGAAGCGGATCCTCCTCCTCCGGTTCCGGTTTCGGGGCAGGACAGAGATGCTAGGGTTTTGAGATACAGAGAGAAGAGGAAGAACAGGAAGTTTGAGAAAACCATTAGATACGCTTCCAGAAAGGCATATGCGGAGACACGGCCTAGAATCAAAGGCAGGTTCGCCAAAAGGTCCGATTCCCTTCTTTTTAATTAAATCTGTAAATTTTCTTCTTCAATTTGAGTTGTTATTGAATGTTGTTATTCGAAGATCACGCGGCTGGCCTGGCTGTTGTGTGTACGTAAGTTAGGCTTATGTGTTTTCCCAGTTTGTAATGAAATCAAATCTTGTGGGATTCTCGTCATCTCAATTCTTGAATTCATTACTACTGTTGCCCAAATCTCTTATTACTGGTTTATGGGTGGAATAAGAAATTGCCTTTCACCATGTGGCCCATGATTGAGAATTTCTATTTAAACCAGTAATCAGTGTTTTAGTTTCATTCGCCATGTGGCTGATGATTAAGATTTTATATCTATTTAAATCGAGTTTATTTTCACCATGTGACGAATGATTGAGGTTTTTTTATTCAAATTCATCAAACATGTGCAAGAGTAGGTGACTGAGTATTGTGTGTGTAAATGAAGTTTACATTTGCCTAGCTTGTTTGATAGTATTTTTTCAATGTAATCAAAACTCTTGACAAATGGTGCAGCATACAAGTATTCTTCGTGAGTAAAATAAATATGATCCTTTGAAGAGTGAATGGTGAGACAATATTATGAAATCAAAACTTTTTTGATCAAAATCACGAAAAACTAAGAATAAAAAAAAGGATAATAGAATTTGAAATTGATTTTGTGTAACAAAGTGTAGTACATAAGAGTGTATTGCAGAATGGAAATCACTTGTAATAGATTTGAAAGTTGCAGCAAGTGCAAAATAAAACATTTACCAGTTATGGGTTGACGAGGGCAAGGTCGATCCTATTTCATGGGGCAGTGATAACTACATGTGAGTAGGGTGAAATCAACCATTGTCACGCTACAAGAATAATCATTTTTAGTGACGATAATTTTTGTCGCTATGTCGTCACAAAAAATACCATCACAATAAGAGGTATTATTGTGACGACATTCGAACATATAGCGACAATATTAGGACATTATTAGCGACGGTATTTTTTCTGAAGACATAGCGACAAAAATTATCGTCATTAAAAATGATTATTCTTGTAGTGTCAGTATGGGGTGAAATCCCATAGGATAACTGCATGTGAGTAGGATGAAATCAACCATTGATGACACTGTTTGACCCTATCACTAACTATAGACTTATAAAGATGTTAATTTCATGAATATTCCATTTTCTCTATTTTCATTTTCCTCATAATAATGATAAATAATGTATGATTTATTTGATTGTAATAAGAGTTAAATAAATTAAAAAAAGAAAAACATTTTGACGTAATAGTTTAAACCATGTGTAATGTTATGCTGGTTCAAAAAAATAAATAAATAAAAAATAAAAAATAAAAAACTGGCCATGGTTTTATGGATAAATATTGCGGTGGGGCAGAGGTGTGTCAAATAGTGAAAGGCTATTGGCTAGCGGGATTTCCTTTTATCGTGAACCACAAAGTGGAATATAGGGTACCACCTCCACAAGGTTGGGCGTAGCTAGAATTTTTTTTTCATCCGAAGCTGCAAAATTATTGATGTTATTTGAATTAAGTTGTCCCGTTACATACTTTTGTTTGACATATAAAACTTCAAGCTCGACTAGCTTGTATATTAGCACGAGCTCAAATCAAACAACTAATTGAGTTTGTCTATCAAACAAGTCGAGCCGAGAGTGTCAACGATCAACACGGTAAGAGTTTTGGGTTTCTGTCTATGTTGTAAGGCTTACTAAATGACTCGCGTCATTTTTACATGTAATTTACAGTGATTTTAGTTTCCGTTTCATCTTGAAATACATTTTTTGTTTTTTTGTAGTTAATTTTATTAAGCGATGACAAGGTATTTTATTTGTGTTTTAATAGAAAATGGGATCGAAATAATTAATAGAGGTGGAAACGAATAGAATCGGTCAAAAAATGTGTATTTCAATGTGTTATAAGAGGCCCAAAAGATAATTACATAGCAGCCCATTTTATTTGATTTAGTGAGCTAAATATTAATTCAATGTACTATTCCAAGAAAGAATAAATTGATTAAACATCATGGGATAGCAAAAGTATTATAGTAGCAATATATTAAAAATCAAGAAATAAAAGACATAATACAGATAAATGATGTAAGCATGAAGTGTGATGATTGCTCAAATACTTGTCAATTGTTCGAATTCTCCTGTTTTGCCAAAAAAAAAAAAAATCATTTCATATTTTATATATTAGTNTNC